CCCCAGCCAGCCATGCTGGTTAGGGAATTCTGGGAGTTGAAGTCCACCCATCTTCAAGCTGCCAAGGTTGAGAAACACTGCCCCACCAGCTGCCTTTTGCTCCTGCAGAAAAGCTGAGAAATAAATCTAGCTAACCAATTCATGAGCTCTTTGAAGAGGACAGTTAAGAAATCCAGGGAAAATGTCCTCCACGTTTTGACACGCTCCCCCAGTAACTTTAGCCATAATCCTCTGGGACGATGAGGCGGCCTCTGAGCATAATTTCATGGGAAGTGGGGCTATTCACAGAGGTCTGTGGCTTGAACTTTAGGTTCAGTTAGTCTGGGAGGTGCTTGAAGGAGCCGGCAGATTTCGTGCGGGGTTGGAGAGGGTGGGAGAAGTGACCATGCATTTGTGACCATTCATCTCCATGCTTCATTTTTTTTTTAATGGATAATTTAACGCGTGCATTTCAAACACAAGCCAGTTCATCCTAATGCAACCTGCAGGAGAGGTTGGAAGAGTTTTCCACGGGTGATCCTCTGCAGTGAAGCCCCGAGATCTGGGTTCAAATCCAGACCGTTGGCTTTGGGGCAGGAAAGCCCTTCTGACGGTTTTGAGGATAAAATTAAGCAAGGAGAGAAAGCCCGTCAAAGGCTTTAGAACATGGACAGAGTTTGGAGCATGAATGAAGGAATATGTTCGTCTGACCCCCCCATCGTAGAGAGTCTCCCAGATCGAATCTCAAATTGGGTTTTGCACAACTAAAGCGACGGAAATCCATAATGAGTCAACTGGGACAAGTTCAGTTGGAAGTGGATTCCCCAAACCGATCGCTTCATTCTCCAGAAAGGGGGGTTTCAGCCCCCTCCCTAGCACGTAAGATGCCCCTAACTGTAATTTTTAGTTTAATCAAAGGGAGGAACTGACAAAAGATGTGTGGAGTCAGGATATCAGCAGTATTAATCAGTTTCTTTCAAATTAAAATTGGCTTCAAATTAAGGTTTTATCCTGCAGTGTTTCTCAACCTTTGGCCACCTATTGACAGTTGGCGGGGTTCTTCCTCCCCTCTCCTCCTTCCCCCCCGGGAGTCTGTCGGGGGGGCGTAGTATACGCCGCCGCGTT